GGGTGTGGGGTGTGGGGTGTGAGTGTGGGGGTGTGGGTGTAGGTGTGGGTGTGGAGTGTGAGTGTGTGGGTGTAGGTGTGGGTGTGGGTGTGGGGTGTGGGTGTGGGTGTGGGTGTGTTGGTGTGGTTGTGGATATGGGTGTCAATAAAGATTGAATCCACACTCATACACACCCACACCCCACACCAAGGGGAAAACGGCGGACTTGAAGTAGAAAAGTACGTCAAAGTACGTCAAAGTAGACTATTTGAAGTAGCTCAAAGTACCACCCAAGTAACCCAAAGTAGAAACAAGTAGCTTAAAGTAACTTGAAGTGACTTCAGATAAATTTGAAGTTGAAAAGTACTTCAAAGTAAACTACTTGAAGTAGGTGAAAGTAACTTGAAGTAGCTTAAAGTAGCTCAAAGTAACTTCAAGTCCAAAAGTCCGCCGTTTCCCCCTTGCCCCACACCCTCCACCCACACCCACACCCACCCACACCCCAACCCCATGTGTTTATCTTCGGTTTCTAAAGTGAGAATTCGAAGCATGTATTTTGATCATTTCGAGCCAGCCCGAGATTCTAGATATGTGTTTAGTAGAGGTAGACTCGTTCTAGAGGACACATTCATCCAGCAAATTGTTGAATGCAGTTTACACGAAATTTCATGAATTCAGTTTGGCACTTGAGTTCTAAGAACAATTTCTCGTATGATTCAAGAAAAGTGTTTTCTACATGAATGAAAACTAAAAGTCTATGTATGACTGAATGTACCAGATTTTGAGCAGCAAGAGTATTTATTCAGAGCTACTTCTCCACCGTACTGCAGAAAAGAAAAGCTTGCCAGCCAGATCCTGCCGAGACTGCAATGTGAAACTCACATAGCTTATTCAAATTGAATGTAATGATACAATATGCAAAGTAGAAAAGCTATATTGAGTGAAAGTTGTTTCTCAGCACAAATGATAGATAACAAAAGCCTACTTAATCGATTTTTACATGTGGAAAAACAGTTTTATGACTTATTTAGGGGATTTTTCTTCTGGCATTATATATGCGAGTTCCACAAAACTAAAGCTAATAGATATCTGACGGTTTTCGACTATTTTCATTTTTTCGGAATTTCCAACCTTGAGGGTGGGTGTGGGGTGTGGGTGGGTGGTGTGGGTGTGGGT